TTTCAATAAGCTTATAGCTACTAACACAAATGAACTAAAAAGAGTTAGTATAAAACTACTATAACAAGTTTGTCTGTGATATTTTACTATGTCATGTCTGTGATACGATAAATATGTTTAAATAGCATTTGTTCCTGCATTTTTTATATGCTAATACAGATTTTTTTCTTTTATTTAATAATTGTATACAATGTATGAACTAGTATTTATATGTACTGTGATATGGAGAAATGTTTACAATGTATGGATAAAGAACTGGGCCTGAAGTTATAAAGACATGCTCTTAATTCAAACATAGATCTCAGGTATTTGATTGGTCAGAAACTGCCTTAGAATATTCACTGATCAATGAAAAATATGAGATTTGAGACAAAACTCGGACAAAACTTTTATAACCTCGGGCCAAGGTAGTACTAATTTGTTTACTTTAATTGGTTAAATTTATAATCCAATAACTTGTACATCTAGAAGTTTGCAGATTGTTTCATTTACAGATTGTTAATAAGGTCATTAAATAACCCCCAAGAAAACAGTTGTCTGTCAGTAATTGAAACACAATACATGTATAAAGTATTCACGTAATCCACTTCATTCACTATTAAATTTAAACCTGAAATTACTTTTAGTCGTATTTAAACTTATTTTTTCTACCAATCAACAAACAGAAAATATTTGACTGTACGACACAGCAAAATGGTCATGTGACAGAATTTTATCCAGGTATGAGAGTTTATAATTTTGTTTTCCTATCATTTGATAATAATCAAATGATTTTAATTTTATTTTTCTGTTATTTTTTAAATTAAATATTTTGTATAGTTTGTTTACAGTATTACTTATTATCCTTGTATGAAGGGAGAAATAAAATATGAAAACATCAATTCTGTTTATGACTATTTATCCTATTTATAAAAAATATTAACTATGATATGTACATACAGTGAGACATTGAAAATATTAGTTTCTAAACCATGAATATAATCTCAACTACTGTACATGCTCTAAGACAAACAGTACAGCAGGTATCAACATATATGTTTACTCTAGTCATACACAAAGATAAACACTTGTACTACTCAAGTCTGAGAGTATGTCAAATATTAAAACATTAACATATTTATAATACTGATGATAATCAAGCACTGATTTTCTATGTTTTTCAACAGTAATATGATATATTTAAAGCTTAAATTTTTTTGCTTTTCTTTTTGAAAAAATGGAGTAAGTTGAACATGCAGTGATTTAAATAGGAAAATGTTTGATAGATATATGCACATGAACCTTGTTTTTTCTTACAAAACAAGATATGTTTGTAAAACATGTATGCCCCCTATCAGCAGCCAATTATTCATGTGATAAGGTAATTATGCATGACTTCTGACCCAGTGATCAAACAATCAATAAGGCTTATCAAGTATCTACTGGTCATGACCTTGACCTTTGACCCCTTGACCCAAAACTCAATAGGGGTCATCTGCTGGTCAAGACCAATCATCATACAAAGTTTGAAGTTCCTAGGCCTAAGCGTTTTTAGTTAATTGATCAGAAACCGTTTTTACCTACAAGGTTAATGTGACCTTTGACCCCTTGACCCCAAAATCAATAGGGGTCATTTGCTGGTCATGACTAATCACCATGCCAAGTCTGAAGTTCCTAGGCCTAAGGGTTCTTTTATTATTGATCTGAAACCGTTTTAACATACAAGGTTCAATGTGACGCTTGACCTTTGACCCCAAAATCAATAGGGGTCATCTGCTGGTCATGACGTCAAAATCACTATGCCAAGTTTGAAGTTCCTAGGCCAAAGCGTTCTTTAGTTATTGATCAGAAACCGTTTTTTTACTTACAAGGTCAATGTGACCTTGACCTTTGACCCCGTTGATCCCAAAAATCAATAGGGGTAATCTGCTGGTCATGAAAAATCACCATACCAAGTTTGAAGTTCCTAGGCCTAAGCGTTCTTCAGTTATTGATCAGAAACCGTTTTTACTTTACAAGGTCAATGTGACCTTGACCTTTGACCCTTGACCCAAAACTCAATAGGGATCATTTGCTGGTCACCACCAATCATCATACAAAGTTTGAAGTTCCTAGGCCTAAGCGTTTTTAGTTAATTGATCAGAAACAGTTTTTACCTACAAGGTCAATGTTACATGACCTTTTGACCCCTTGACCCCAAAACAAATAGGTCATCTGCTGGTCATGACCATCACCATACCAAGTTTGAAGTTCCTAGGCCTAAGGGTTCTTAAGTTATTGATCGGAAAAGCAATTTTACCTACAAGGTCAATGTGACCTTGCCCTTTGACCCCTTAACCCTAAAAATCAATAGGGGTCACCTGCTGGTCATGACCAATCACCATACCAAGTTTGAAGTTCCTAGGCCTAAGGGTTTCTTTAGTTTTGATCGGAAACTGTTTTTTACCCAAGAGGTCAATGTGACTTTGACCCCTTGACCCCAAAATCAATAGGGGTCATCTACTTTGATCATGACCAATCACCATACCAAGTTTGAAGTTCCTAGGCCTAAGGGTTCTTTAGTTATTTGATCGGAAACTGTTTTTACCCAAGAGGTCAATGTGACCTTGACTTTTGACCCTTGATCCCAAAATCAATAGGGGTCATCTACTGATCATGACCAATCAACCATATCAAGTTTGAAGTCCCTAGGCCTAAGCGGTTCTTTCGTTATTGATCGGAAACCGTTTTTTACCTACAAGGGTCAATGTGACCTTGACCTTTGACCCTTAACCCCAAAATCAATAGGGGTCATCTGCTGGTACATAACCAATCACCATACCAAGTTTGAAGTTCCTAGGCTAAGGTTCTTTTGTTATTCGATCGGAAACTCAGTTTTTACCCAAGAGGTCAATGTGACCTTAGACCTTTGACCCCTTGACCCCAAAATCAATAGGGTCATCTACTGATCATGACCAATCACCATACAAAGTTTTGAAGTTCTAGGCTAAGTTTCTTTACTTATTGATCGGAAACCGTTTTTGCTAACAAGGTTCAATGTGACCTTGACCTTTGACCCCTGACCCCAAATCAATAGGGGTCATCTACTGATCATGACCAATCACCATACCAAGTTTGAAGTTCCTAGGCCTTAAGGTTCTTTAGTTATTGATCAGGACGGAAACGTTTTTGCTTACAAGGTCAATGTGACCTTGACCTTTGACCCTTGACCCCAAAATAATAGGGTCATCTACTTGTCATGACCAATCACCATACCAAGTTTGAAGTTCCTAGCCTAAGGGTTTTTTAGTTATCATGGGAAACCATTTGGTCTACGGACCGACAGACCGACGGACCGACAAGTGCAAAGCAATATACCCCCTTTTCTTCGAAATGGGGGCATAATTAAAGGTTGACAACTGTTGATTGAATAATCAGACAAATGAAAATTGGTCTTTCGTGTGAAAACAGAAATCATGGTAAAATATACAGCATACATAACCAAGATATAAAAAATATTCTATTAAGATGACCTGACCTATCTGAGAGAACCAACAACAAAAAACTTCATCTAAAATACAGTTTCCCACATTATTTGTAGTTTCTGATTTATGCTTGAATTTCAGATGCATTACAGTTTGTTAACTTTCTCTCACCCCCTAAAATCAACAAGTCATCCCCCCCCCCCCCAAACCCCAACCAACCCAACCCAACCCCCCATTGTATATAAATGTATTGCAAGTCATTTGCTGTACCATTAAATAATTTTCATTATGGTAGAACATATTTTTAACAAACAATGGCACAGAATAAAAACCGGTACAGAACTTAATCGGCTAGAAGTCCTTATCAACTGCTATGAGTTTCTTTAACACTTCATTTAAGGCATTAATTTGTTGGAGAAATTGTGTAAATAATTCCTGAAAGTCTTTCCCTTCCTCTAAAGATGTGCAAGATTGTGGATCTAATGGAATAAAACTGAAATTATACACAGCTACATTGTATACAGCATTTTGTACCAGTTCAACAAGTACCGCTAGACTTCACACCTACTATATCGATCTTTTATTAGAAATATTCTTGTTTTAATTGAAATACGCCAATTGACAATTTCTGAACTAGCAGACGACAGGCTTTTCTTATCAGTAATTTTGCAAGTTAAGATTACAGGCTGCGTATCTCTCTGTATATTTAAATTGTATGTTAAATTGCCTGACATGTGTTAGGTTTAACAATTAATTAAAATATTTTGGTGTCTAATGAGATGTTGATATATATACTGAGATGAAGCTAAGATAAAAGCTTTTCATTGGTGTAATAAAAACTAAAATTGGACAATAAATCGCTTTTAGCTAACGGTTTAAAAATGGCCAATACTATATTGTTTTAGCATTAGACCTTGAGAAGATAAGGGAAACAACTCCCTATAACCTCGGTAATTTACACAATTTATATAGAAACCGTCAATGGGTGTACTGTGTTTATAATACACCTGATTTTGGTAATGTCTGTAATATATGATGGGATATTACTTTTAACATCAATAAGAGCTGAAATGATCAGTTAACAATATAAAGCCTAAACAGACTGATACATAACTACTGTCTGCCCTAAACTTAGCTGGTGGCATAGACCTGTTGTAATTGCTGCTAGTTTTTGTAGTCTAATTATTTCAAAAGCCTATCATCACGTCAAAGTGAGCGAAATTGCTGACTTAAATGTTAAGCTATGATGTTGAGGCTATGTGAGATTTAAATAGCATAACACAAAAATGTTAAAGAAAACTTTTGAAACTAAAATTAATCGTAAGTTGATAAATTTAATAAACTGTTACATTTAAGTGTAGTTTAGTTGTTTTTTTCTACTATATTATTACAGCAGAATTACACCTGTAATATTTTAATGTTGTCTTACCTAAGAAAGGAACATGGGCTTGTTTTGCAAGAGCTTCTCCCCCTCCTTTAGAGAACACATTTGTTACTTCCTGTATCAACAAACAAAATATTTATTCAATCTTCAATGTATAAAACAAGCATTTAGTTTTATTTGCATATTATAACAGATTGGAATATCTAGTTTATGCAAGCAGCAACAGTGCTGGAATGTCTGTTTACACTCCCAAAATGACACCATTCACCTAATATGACTGAAAGTTATAAATTCATATGCTTTTATAAGAAAATATTGTTAAATAAAATATACAAGTTTTTGTTCTTTGTTGACTATAATATATGTAATATTATCATTGGCTTCCATTATCTGACTTTCTGGTAACTGATAAGCAGTAACTCTTCAAAGCCTTGTTACCCCCTTAAACAGTTTACCCTTATGTTTATTCATTCCAGTCTACGGGCATTCTTATATTCTTTATTTATTTAATGCCACATTTAAAACTGACCCTAACTAACCCTAACCACATCGGAATTATCATGGAAATCTAGACTCACACTTGCAAAGCAAAGGTTTATAGACCAAGCACTCAACCGTCACTGAGCGTTTAAGCATACATAATAGTAATACTTTTTATAATGCCAAAAATAATTACAAATAATTATTTCTTATATACATATATTCCCATGCCAATTATCATAATCATATTAGTATATTAATAAATTTAATGTACCCCACAACATGGACAGGCAAATCCACTCATATTTTCCACAATACCCAGGATAGGTACTCCAGTCTTGTGACAAAATGTCAGCTCCCTTCTCACATCTCCAACTGCCACACCCTAAATAAATGTACAATACATGTTATATCATTTCATCAAATTGTGGTAATGTTAATCTAGTTTCATTTACTTTAAACATTTACAATTAAAACTTGTAATAAAACAACCAGTTATAATGTGTAAAGTGAAGTTTATCACTGAAACAATTATCAGTGATATGTCATAATGATAGTGACAGATTTTGTTAATGTAAAATCTGAAAAAAGGTGATGCTTCTGGAGCAATGACTTGGGGGGGGGGGGTTATTTAGAAATTACACTATTCATGAGAGAGTATGAGAAGTAAAGCTGATAATGGCTACTATTATATGTAGTATGTATTACAACACACAACTGTAAAAACAGATTTAAAACTTTGAAGTTTTGAAACAGTAATAATTTAGAAGATTACAATAGTTATTTGTTCATATCAAACTGATACTTGTATTTATTAACTCCACTGGTTTAGGTGCTGACATATAGGGTTTCAAACTCAACAAAAATTTCAAAGAATATTTCTTTACAGAAATCATTGCTCATGTGTTGAAAACTCAAAAGTCATATTTTATATAGCACATGATAATTAATTATAATATGAGCCGTGCCATGACAAAACCAACATAATGGGTTTGCGACCAGCATGGATCCATGCTGTTCGCTTACCAACCCTATTACAAGTAGATAAACTGATAGCGAACAGCATGGATCCTGATCAGATTGCGCGGATGCGCAGGCTGGTCTGGATCCATGCTGGTTGCAAACGCACAACATTTATGTTGGTTTTGTCGTGACGAGTCTCATTATAATTTCAACTCAAATCAGGATACACCAACAAAGCCAGTGTAACATAAAATAATATCATTACAAACCTGTGGTGTAGTCACTAGTAGGGCACCATCTGGACAGTAAGATTTGAGACTTTCTATCACAGTAATATGTTCATCTGATGTTCCAGGTGGTGTATCTATAACAAGGTAGTCAATAATCCCGCCCCAAACTACATCACTTAAAAACTGTCTGATCATAGCTGCAATATCAAAATATAACATGTCTGCAGGTCATAACAAAAGACAATAAACAATATCATTATTGAAATAAAACCCTTCACCTAATACCACACCAATATAGAACACCAGTGGACTGTACCAAATTAAATCCAAGGAAAGCCATAACACTAAAGAAGTTGAAAACAAATCAGAGAAGTAAAATAGGTTAACTGTATTTCCTTTTACAAAACTGAATCAAAATGCTTTAAAATGAAAAATAAAAATCAGTTTACAAATATTGTTAACTTGTTAATTCCAATAACAAAGTTCTTGAAAAAGTATGGACTGTCACTAAGTAACTAATATGACAGATTAACTTTTCAATGTAAGCTTAACTTCTGTCCATGTAGGATTTGAAAATGACAGGAGCTACATGGTATGTGAACCTTGGCTATTTTTCAGCTGACAAGACAGGTCTTTTTCCCTATAAAATATAGATTATACATATTTCTATTACCATTTTTCTTTGGTCCTCTCCACACAACAGCATCATCTTTTCCTTCTATAAGGAAACCTATTGACATCACACCAAGTCTCTGTTCCTTGTCTACATACACTGGTAGCCATCTGTAGTTATAACAATTAAAATCTTGTATTAATAAATAAATGAAAAACTGTCACATCACTAATGGGTAACATTTTAGTTACCTCATTCTGGAACAAGAACAGTTGGAGGACAGTAACGCGTGACTATTCAAAAAGATGTCGCAAGGGTGTTTCATTGAGTATAATAATGCTTACCTATATGAATACATAAAATTGTCCGAAAAGGTACAAAGGCTTGTTATTAAGATGTTTTATCGAGTAAATCACTGCTTTATTATTATGAATGCATAAAATTGTCTTAAAAAAGGCACAAACCCTTCAGTAGTTATGGAGATACCAGCTTACAAGCAAAACCTTTACCAAGAATTTGAAAAAGGGGCATAATCATGAAAAATCAAATCAAGAGTTATGGGACTTGTGCTAATCATGTAAGATAATCACAGAGAACAAATGTGTGAAGTTTCAATTCATTGCCTTCAATAGAAATTTGAGTGTGATGTGTACTACCGTTGGGGAGATAATGAACGAAACTGAAAATTTCATCAAGATGCATAATTCTCGGACAATGACCAAATTCGAAAATGACCTGCATTTTCCTATTATAAATCCATTTGTCAAATTTGAGTTGAATGTTTGCAACCGTTACCAAAATAATGAAATAAATTATATGTATTTTTTTTCATTAACAATTAAACACAATTGAATTCAGTTGGAAAAGTCACCTACCCTTCAGGACACTGATGAATGTCACTCCCTTCTACACCAAACATCTTTGGTACACTTGGACCACATAAGTCTACATCTAAAAGTCCCACCTGCAACATTTATATATCAGTTTTTCTTTATTATTTGTAATTGTAACATTCAAATCACTTTCTGATAATTGAAAAACCTCATTTAGCGTCATTCAAAAGTCATTCAACGTTTCATGTCTAAAGATAGTCTATACATTGTAGTTATACATACTATAATTAACCTATTTTTTAAATGAATTTGATAAGCTTAAGCTCATAAGTATTTCTTAAATGACACTAATAAGTTAATAATTTTTTGTATGAGCAAGTATCAAAAACAGACCTTTTGCTAGCCATTTTTGGAAAAAGTACAGAGATTAGTTTGGGAAATTTTGTGGCATCAAATTGCTTAATTGGAAAAAAAGGTACCTGTTGAAACCTCCTTTATGCTCTTTTGGCATAGAATTTTGAATTGTGCAACATTGTTTATTCCAACCAATGTAAATATCATTCAAAGGTAAAAAAATACATTAAAGTTTGACAATGAAATGTGCAAAAATCTCTTTCTGATACCAAACTGGAATGAATTCCAGCAAATTTGTCAGTTTTGATATCAGAGAATTTCACAGGATTCATACAGAGCATCAAAGGAAAAATTCAAGGACTTTTCAAGAACCTTTTAATTCTTTCAAGGCCTCAATATGTGATGCACTTCAGATAAATATGTGCAAAAAAGGGCACTGATGACTATGTATACAATAAGAGATTTATATGCGAGTCGGTGTATGTTTCAAAGTATAATACTCGGTGAAGTGCTATCACTAAAAGCATTTTTTTAAGTGTGCAAGATCCATTTTCAACATATATAAAAATTGCACTTTTTTCATTTTTGCTCACTGCTTTTGTCTACCTTCACAGCAACCGGTGCGACAAATTAACAATATATGAATATTTCCAGGGACTATTATTATTCTATTCTCCAGTCTGGTCACTTCCAGTCTCCAGTCTCTCCCAGTATATTTTCCAGTCTCTCCCAGTCTATTTTGACCCGGATTAACTAGATAGTATTATATTTACTGACCCGGTCAGTGCCGGTCTTCTTATATATTATTTATTTGTTAAAATGAGTCGATCTTTCTTGATGAATGAGGGTAATAATAATTGTAATAAAAATTTCAAAAATTCAATTGTCATATTGACCGACAATTATAATTCTAAAATTAACTGGAACAAGGGCAACATTGTCGCAATATATGCCCGTCACAGAAGCTTTTGACAGAGATGTGGGCATTATAGATATGCAAATAGGAGATATGCTCTGGACAATATCTGGAAAATATCTTGATACATTATCATCTCTAGTGACTTTTTTATCTGAACTTTGACCCCTATGTGTGACCTTGACCTTAGCCGCAGAGACCTAAATTTTGCGCTCGAGGCTCCACCAAGTGCCAAGTTATATTGAAATCCCTCTATGTAGAAGTTTTGCTCTAGACAAGCGATTTGCAATAATCTCTCTGTATGTGTAGGAGATATGCTCTGGACAAAATCTCTATATTTTATCATCTTAAGTGACCTTGAAAATCATCTTAAGTGACCTTGACCTTGCATATAATAACCTAAATTACATGTTTCACACCCGTAGTTAAGATAATGATCATTTGTGTTTCAATCCCTCAATAAATGATGACTAAATGGTCCCAATACACATTTAACATTTTCATATTTTTATCTGAACTTTGACCTCTAATGTGTGACCTTGGCCTTGGCCAAAGAGACCTAAATATAGCGCGTGACACTTCCCCTCACAGTAGTGAACATTTAAGCCAAGTTATATTGAAATCCCTCTATGCATGAAGAAGTTTGCTCCGAACAAGCGTTTTTCAATGACCTCTAAGTGTGACCTTTGACCTAGTGGCCTGGTTCATGTGCGCGACACGGCTTCTCATAGTGGTGAACAGCTGTATGAAGTTCATTAAAATTCCTCCATGGGTGTAGAAGATATGCTCCAGACAAAAAATTAGACGCTGCCCGTCCAGCCAGCCGCCCACCTGCCAGGGGGGAAAACTATAATATGACCTGTTTTTCAAACGGGCGTATAAAAAGTCAGTAAATAATGATTAATCTTTCAATATATTATGTTGATTAATCTTAAACCATTTATTTACTTTATTATTTATTTTTTTTAATTATCAATCAATTGAATAATTCATAAAATCTAATTTGTAACTTAGAATAATTCCTCAGAACCGTTTTACTAAACATGAATAACAAATCAAATTAATGTTTCAAAGTTGATTGTGTCATATTAATACCATAAAAAAATGTACCTTTTTATTCAATTATTGTATATATTTATTGTTTTTATCTGACTTAACTAAAATAAAACATGCTATTTTATTTTTAGAATTGTATGTTTATTATGTATAATAATAATAAATAAATTTGAGAGATGATCTGTGTTAATTTATTATTGTAACCAAACTAAGTGACATTCAGTTTTGGGGGAAAAGTCTCTTTTTTTTGTTACAATATCAAATAAAATATCAACTTCAAAACCGGGAGAGACTGGACAATAAGTGTGTGATACTATTTTTTCTAGTAAATCCCGGTCAAATAGACTGGGAGAGACCAGGAATTACCAATAAGAGACCATTGAATAATACATCCCATATTTGTAAAAGCCAATACCCAGTCCATTCCGTCTTATATAACAGAGTTGCTAAGTTTTTTTGTTTGTTTCTTTTTTCTTGTTAGTTATATTTTACTACTTTTATTTTCTTTTTTAGTCTTTTAAGAGGAATTTATGGAAAACAGAACAAAACGGACATTTCACCGCTCAAACACTTCACACCTGATAAAATAAGGATATTTTTTTCCTCAAAAAAGTTCATACCAAAATTATATTTTTGAAATAAAACATACCAAATAAATATGATCATACAAGAAGGGAGTCCAAGACCGGGGCCCGGAAACAGAAATAAATATAGATTTCTGTACCTATCAGTAAGGCCCCCACAGTTACTTGTTTATATGAATTTGTTTTCGATTTTCATTTGTAAACTTTTAAACAAACTAGAACTCCCAAGTTTGATGTGTCGCCTTGTGAACTATACAGTTTAGGAGAAATGGCCAGGACAAAAATGAAATATGAAAATTAACAAAGGGCAATAACTCAAAAAAAAAGAAGTGCAGAGCAGCAGTTTCTGTGCACTGCACTTCTTATCAATAAGATCTATCATCCTATAAAATAAAGTATGAAAATTAACAAAGGGCAATACCACTAAAACCAAAAAATGCAGAGTACCGGTTCTTGAGCACTGCACTTTTTCTTAATGAGATCTTTCATCCTATGAAGTTTCAAGTCCATAGCTTTTATACATTAGGAGAAATGGCCCGGACAAAAATAAAGTATGAAAATTAACAAAGGGCAATAACTCAAAAATTAAGAAATGCAGAGTACGGGTTATTGTGCACTGCACTTCAGGTCTTTATAAGAAGCATGCATACCAAGTTTGATGTCAATCCGACTTATAATGACTGACTTATGCTCCGGACAAGCTTAAGGGGACGCTGACGACGCTGACACCACCGACAAAAGTAACCCCTTTATGTCGCCTTTTTCAAGGCGACACAAAAAGTAACCTTTGTCTTACCAATAGATATTTGTTATAACCTGTCATCATGAATTTAATCAATTCTTTTTTAATTATTCCCAGTAAAAAGGAGAGGAGAAAAAGTTTTTAAGGCTGTTAAAAAATCCAAAACAAAAAACGTAGCTTAAGGCTTTTTTGAAGGGGGTGAAACTCCATAGCATACTGCTTTTACTATTATTTCACATCGCCAGTACAGTGCTTCGTTAATTAGAGAATAACGCCATTGTTAAGTAAAATTGTCCACACAAACAAGCATGTGACAGACTAATAGTGTTGTCAGGCTTCTATAAAAGAGACGCTCTGATTAGTGAATAATAGTCAGCAACTCTCCACACAGCATCACAGTGCAATAATCGCTCTTTTATACTTATATATACTTTTTTTGTAAAGTGGGTTTTCCTTTGATCTTTCAAAAGAGCTAAATGGGGATACTGTGCAGAAATTTTTGGGATTAGCCCTTAAGGTCTCACCCCCGGTACGGAATTAGACCCAACCCATTGTAGCCTAGAAAGTAGTTCTTTTAAATTTTGAAGTGGTCCAATTTAAGTAATCTCTAGCTTGACAGGTCATAATTAAAGTGTATTTATTGCATCTGTGTAGTTTTTATGCTCCCCAAAAAATTTCGGGGGAGCATATAGTCGTCGGGTTGTCCGTCCGTCCGTCCATCCGTACGTACGAACATACGTACGTACGTACGTTCATCGTGTCCGGCCCATAACTTTGTTATTTGAAGTCGGATTTCACAGAAATGATCACCATATTGTGACGACGTGTCGCGCGCAACATTTGGGTCGCTACCTTGAAGGTCAAGGTCACAGTATGACCTTGCAGCAAAATCGTGTCCGGTCAATAACTTCATTACTTGAAGTCGGATTTAAAAAATATTTCACAGAAATGATCACCATATTGAGACGATGTGTCGCACGCAACATTTGGGTCGCTACCTTGAAGGTCAAGGTCACAGCATGACCTTGCAGCAAAATCGTGTCCGGCCCATTACTTTGTTATTTGAAGTCGGATTTTAAAACTATTTCACAGAAATGATCACCATATTGAGATGATGTGTCGCGCGCAACATTTGGGTCGCTACCTTGAAGATCAAGGTCACAGCATGACCTTGCAGCAAAATCGTGTCCGGTCCATAACTTCATTATTTGAAGTCGGATTTTAAAAATATTTCACAGAAATGATAACCATATTGAGACGATGTGTCGCGCGCAACATTTGGGTCACTACCTTGAAGGTCAAGGTCACAGCATGACCTTGCAGCAAAATCGTGTCCGGCCCATTACTTTGTTATTTGAAGTCGGATTTTAAAACTTTTTCACAGAAATGATCACCATATTGAGATGACGTTTCCCGCGCAGCATTTGGGTCGCTACCTTGAAAGTAAAGGTCACAGCATGACCTTGCAGCAAAATCGTGTCCGGTCCATAACTTTGTTATTTGAAGTCGGATTTTAAAAATATTTCATAGAAATGATCACCATATCGACACGATGTGTCGTGCGCAACATCTGGGTCGCTTCC